GAGTTTAGTTTTGAGGGTTTAAGGGGTTTTAGGAGTCAAAAAATTTTTTAGGGTTTGAAGATTTAAATTCTAAAAAATCATAATTAGTGACATTTTTGCAAATGGATACCAAAAATGGCATTTTGCAAATGTCTCAAAATTTAATAAAAGTATAAAACATCATTATTTGGCAAACTTTGATGTTCTAACTCCACTATTTCAGCTGAATCTATTTTTTCTTCAATTATTCCATTTTTTTTTTGCAAAAAAAATATTTCTCAAGTGTATAACATTATCAATCAACCGGGGCTTCACATGAACAATCAGAAACAATGGGCGGATCGATTCCAATTGGATATTAAATGGGCCCTTAAGCCACCACAAAATGGCCCACAAATATTTTGAAAAATAAAGCCAAAAGTTTTGAAAAGTCTGAAAACAAACAGAGAAAATTTCCAGTCGCCGTCAACATTCATTCTCCTTTGAGAGCGGAAAAGAGCGACAAAAAGAAGAAGATGAACGTAGTTCACGGCTTGAAGAGGATTCCTCGCATCAAATTTCCCCAGCGACATTTGAATCCTTCAGGTTCTGATTTATCGTCGTTCTTCGTCTTTAACTGTCATGGATTTTTTTTCTCGCCCTTTCTTACTCGATTCGAAAAAATTTGATCTGTACGGTTTCCATTGTCACGAAGAATCAGATATGAGATTGTATCCGTTTAGCTTTGATTGTTTTTGTTTTCCGATCTGAAGGAATCATTGATTTGCATTTGTATGTATTTAGCGTTTTAGATATCTAAGATTCTAGGTTATAGAAAGTTTTTGACATGGTAGGATTTGAACCAGAACAATTACGTTTATGATTTTCTCTTTGAACCTCTGTTTGTAATTGCTTTCGTTGTGTGGTGGTGGTATCTCAAATCATCACCTGCTAATATACCTTGATCTAAGTTGCACATAGATTTGTTTAGTCTACGAAGTAAACAATTTCATTTCCATTATCCGCTTTTCCATAATCATTTCTTGTCAAATTGGAATCATATGTTGAAGTTCTTTCTGTTTCTGTGTTTGATTTGGGTTATTAACGATCTGATTGTTAATGAATGCGATTTGTTTGCTCGCATTAAGATTTTGTTAATATAAATTTACAGCTACGGAGGGCAAGAATCAGGTGGCGAATGAAGCGGATACATTCTTCTTCTCCAATTTGAATATGCCAAAGACTGTGGGAGGGAAGGCATCACTGCAGCCAAAGCGTACGCCAGTTACAAACGAAGAAATGGAAGCCATTTTGGTAAGTAACTTGTTCAACATGACTAGTTTTGCCTCAACCATTTCAGAGTTTTACTTCTCTTGAGTTTAGTTGCGAATATAAACGCATAATTGCGGTTATCCTTATACTTTATAATAGTGTGACCAACTACTAAGTTAATCAGAGTTTCTTCTTTCATTTATGTGATATTTCTTGTTCTGTTTCCTTACTTCTCCTTTTTTGAAAATCTTTACAGTTGGGAGGCTGTGTCTGATCATACAACATTATCTGTTGACGAGAAATGGTGCACCACTTCTCATCTTCGCCATTTGTAGAATATACTAAAGAATCAAGAAATTGATATGGTTGATGATGTTTACAACAACCAATGACACAATTATAAAACACACTTCATTTTCAGTCTTTAAGTTTGAAACTTCGATACTGATTTCACCAGTGATTAAGTGCTACTAATGCTTTATGGTTGAAATTCATCTTTTATTCTTTTTATACCACATGATGAAGCTCTTCTAGTTCTAGAACCAGTCAGAAATCTTGTAGCCTAACACGCAAAGGTACGTTACATATACATTCACAGGAAAAACACAGAAATTTGCAGGGAAAGATCACACTTATGGTGTTGCTTCCTTTTGCATCTCTTCAATAAGAGGCTCAAGAACACAAGACTTTGGATTCTTACCCGGTGGACCTTTTTCTCTTCGTTCAAGCTCTTCAAGTCTGAAAGTAACGAGACGGTCCCAATTTCCTCCTTCGAACAAGACACCTGCTTTTCCATCAGTGATTCTCTGCACTATCCCACAATACATGTGGAACGGATTGTTCGGGTTCTTGACTATAGCGATCATTCCCGGCATGAGTAGCGGTAGCTCAGGCGCTTTCGGCTTCTTATCCGCAGCAGCAATCGCGGATACATTGCTTCCTCGTTTTACAGGCGGTTGTGGTGGTGGAGGCGGGTTTTGTTCGATGAACGTTTGCAATCCCTTTTCGCCACCTGGAAATCCACCGGTGAGACCCATCATCTCTTTCTCAAAACCATCTTCTGGTACTTTAAACGACGAGTTATTGTCGTTGCTCTCTTTCTCCGTCTCGTTCTCAGCCTTTGATGTCTCTTTCTCGCCTTCGATGTTCCTCTTGAGCTCCTTTTCGATACCTTTCTCTCCGTTGCATAATCCTCTTCCTCCTAGCACTTCCCATAGATTGAATTTACCCATGGCCTTTACTTGATGAACGTTTGATTGCTGTTTCGGAGGCGGGAAAATCGACCGGTTTGCAGTTGAAAATACATGGGTTTGGCCTAGAAATTTCGATCCCCGAATCGGAGATCTTATGGTCGGTATAGTGATCGAAGAAGTCGCCATAAAATAAATCCTTGTAGAAAAGTTTAGAGGTGACCAAGAAAGAAGAAGAAGGGGAAATAAGAAGAGTGATCGGCTTATTATAATGACCACATATCATGATTTCAGTTAGATGAGTTCTATCTATTTTCCACTTGTTGGACCTGATCCGGTTTACGCGTAACCGGGATGGTATTGTTTCGAATAGTGATTTTGGAAGAGTTGTTGTAGCATTTGGGCTTTGTCGAAGCTTAAACGGACCTAGTTGGAATAATCTTTGGTATTAGTATTTTGTTTGTTTATAATTAAGAAAAAGGCTTCAAGAACAAGATAAAGCATTATTTGGTCAACGAAATTAATAATAATCTGATTAATAACTGGGATCCCATCCTTCCAAATCATCATTACACATCATCTTTTGTCTTAGGCTCTCCTTTTACACTCATCGGCATCACCAAATACTTAGTTGGCAAATTCTATAAAAAAAGTGTTTAAAATGAATCTTTGTTTTTGGTTTTTAACCTAGCTATTAGTATCAAATTCAGTACTATTTTAAAATACGTAAAAATCCATGAGACTGGATCAAATTTTTTAAAACTATATTTCATGATTAAATATCTAAGTTATCGGAAGATTCAAACAAATTACAAACCAAGTTTTAGCTCATACATTTTCTTTAGTTATCGGAAGATTCAAACAAATTACAAACCAAGTTTTATCTCATACATTTTCTCAAAAGAAAGGTTTATCTCATAAAGGTTGCCAGGTTGGTTAATAATTAGAGGGAGTAAAAATGGGTCATGTGGGTTGTGCTGGCCAACGCGATCAGAGGGTAAAAGTGTCTTTTTTCCTAATCAATTTAAAAAGTGTCTTAATTCTCTAAACCCAACTTCTCGCTTATTAAGCAGCAGCACCTAACCAAAACCAATTGGGTCAAAACAAACACTTTCCATTAAAACAAAACATCAAAATCACAGTTTTTTTTTTTTTATCCTTGAATCTCTCTTCTACAACAAGATCAGGTATATTACTCGATCTTCTGTTTTGCCGATTTCCCCCAAATTCTTCGACTTTCCGAGTTCCTACTTTTGCTCTTTGGTTAGGGTTTCGATTTTCTGGGTTTTCTTTGCCTATTTCCAGAAATTCCGATAAAGAAGAATAACAAAGTATTCGTTTTTCCCCCAGCAAGTTTGGTTGCTTGTTTTGCAGAAACTAAACCAC